GTCATTGCACTGAAATGTACGAGACTCCCGTTTATTATGGGTCTCGCATAGTTGAGTAGTAGACATTCTAATCTCTATTTTAGGGAGTTAGATTTTGGACTTGAACTTACAATAGTGTAGACGGATAACCATTTGTTATACCTTTACGTCCGAATCATACCCTTATTAATAGTCATACTTTTAGTTGTAGTGTTTAACTCACATACCAAACATGCCTAAGTTCCACTCATATGCTCTGAAGGGTTGAGGCAAACCTATTGTCTGCATAGACAAAGATGTCCCATCCACAATTCTTCCCAGTCTTTCCTGCTTCCTACTATTCCATGAGTCTTGGTATTAAGCAAAGGTAAAACTACTCAAGCTGCAAATAGGCTATGGATGTGCTAATGACACCTAAAATATAATAAAGTAAAACAACACATTCTAAGTTTAAGTTTTTTTGGTTATAAAACTAAATTTAATCGAGATGCGTGTGATTTGTGAGTGATTACGTATATCTAAAATTTGTGTTATACTTTTTAGTCCGAAGGATACATGATTTTAACGTTGCATCTCAAATCTAAAGCTCAAGATGTATGACGGTTAATCCGATGCATATGATTTTTGGGTAATTACACATACCTTTTACTTATCGGTTCTAAATATATAACTGCCTCTACCTGAACGATTCCTTTGATTCGGGTCTTGACCATAGAGCAAGAGTAGGCTGAGAAGGCCAAGCCCAGGCCCAGTATCCAAGCCTATATAGCTTGACGACGTCGTTTTGATGCTCAGACTCTCTCTCCCAATATCTCTGTTTCTCCCTCCTCTGTATCTAAAACCCTAAACCTCTCTCTCTCATAATTGGCGGGAGATCAACGGCGCTCTTCAAAACCCTGGAGCTCTCTCATGCTCAGTCGCATTCACCAATTCCGACGAACACTTCTAATCCCACTAACACCCCAAATTCTCACCCCTCCTACTTCTCTCATATTCACTGAAACCTCTGTTTCCGCCGCAAATCTCACCATCGACGAAGAACCCACCACCACTACCACCACCACCTTTCTGTCTTCCCCAAGCGACATCATTTCTGGAATCCTCGCTGGCCTAAAGGGTCTGGGTTCCGTGAAATCTTTCCGGAGAGACCACCAGTTTAGAAACCTTTTTTTGTCTTTGAGTTCCGCTCAAATTGAGGGGATTATTGATAGTTTGAGAACAGAAAACGCGGAGCTTGCTATAGAATTGTTTTATTTGTTGAGGAATGACTATGGGTGTAAGCATTCTAGGGTTTCTCAGTTTCTTATTGCTCATATTTTGGCGGGAAAAAGAAGGCCCAAGGCATTGCGTTCGCTTTTACAGCATGTGGTTCAAGAAGAAGGTAATACATTTCATCTCACTGTCGGTATTATATACATCTATATCTATATGTAGGTGTGGGTGTTTGGGGGGGGGGGGTTGGTTTTAATACTTTTTTTTTTTATAACATTGCCATTTTTCCGTTTACATAGATTTCTTGTGATTTCCGTTAGGCTGTGGCTCTGCGCCTTCACTTTGTGAGCTGCTTTGCGATGGCTTCAGGGACTGGAATTCAAATTGTACTGTGTGGGATATGCTGGCTTTTGCTTATTCCAGAATTGAGATGGTCCATGATGCCCTTTTTGTTATTGCCAAGATGAAAGATTTGAGTGTCCAAGCTTCGGTAGTGACTTATAACAGTTTGTTGCACAACCTGAGACACACTGATATCATGTGGGACGTGTATAGTGAAATGAAAACCACTGGAATTCCTCAGAGTGAACACACTAATTCCATTCTTATAGATGGGCTATGCAGTCAATCCTTGATACAAGAAGCAGTTTCATTTCTGCGGGAGACTAGAAGGGTAGAGCCTAAGCCTTCAATTGTTTCATTCAATACTCTCATGTCAGGTTTCTGTAAAATGGGTTGTGTAGATGTTGCAAAATCCTTCTTTTGTTTGATGTTTAAGAGTGGATTACTACCTGATGCATACAGCTACAATATCATTATTCATGGATTATGCGTAGCAGGCTCTATGGAAGAAGCTTTAGAACTTATGAATGACATGGAGAAGCATGGCATAGACCCTGATGTAGTCACCTATAACATTCTTGCGAAAGGGTTTCGTCTACTTGGTATGATGAGTGGAGCGTGGACGATAATTCATCAAATGCTGCATAAAGGGTTGACTCCAGATAATTTCACATACACAATACTTATCTGTGGTCATTGCCAGACTGGAAATATTGAAGAAGGCTTTAAGTTGCACAAAGAAATGCTTTCAGGAGGTCTTCAGTCGAGTAATATCTCATACAGTGTGTTGTTCAGCAGTTTCTGCAAGAGTGGACGGGTTGATGAAGCTCTGAGTTTGCTTTATGAGATGGAAACTGTTGGTTTAAAACCAGATGTTGTGATGTATTCCATCCTCATTCATGGCCTCTGCAAGCAAGGAGATGTACAAAGGGCAATTCAATTGTATAAGGAAATGTGCTCACAGAGAATCTTCCCAAATTCTTTTGCACGTGGAGCTATTCTGCAGGGCCTGTGTGAGAAAGGGACAATATCAGAGGCTAGAATGTATTTTGATACTGTAGTAAACAGTGACTTAGTGGAGGATATTGTTTTGTATAATATTATGATTGATAGGTATGCAAAACTCGGTAATATTGGAGAGACTGTACAGTTATACAAACAAATAATTGAGAGAGGAATAAGTCCAAGCATAGTCACTTTCAATTCTCTAGTTTATGGGTTCTGCAAAACAAGAAGACTAGCTGAGGCCAGAAGGTGGCTGGATGCTGTTGACATATATGGTTTGGTACCAAATGCTGTAACTTATACCACTCTTATGAATGCATTTTGCGAAAGGGGAAATATACAAGCCATGTTTGAACTGCTACGGGAAATGGAAGCACGGGCTGTAGAACCAACTCATGTCACTTTCACAGTGCTTATAAAGGGACTTTGCAAACAGAGGAAGCTGCAAGAATCTGTCGGATTACTCAAGGATATGTTTGCTAAAGGTCTATCCCCTGATTCAGTTTCGTACAACACCATCATTCAATGCTTCTGCAAAGCTCAAGATACAAAGAAAGCTTTTGAGTTACACAGTGAGATGTTATTGCACAATCTTCAGCCTGATCATGTTACATATAACATTCTTATCAATGGTCTATGTGTGTATGGAGACCTAAAGGATGCTGATAGACTATTCTCTTCGCTAAGGGACAAAAATATTCGATTGACAAAAGTTGCTTATACCACACTTATCAAAGCTCATTGTGTAAAGGGTGATGTAGAGAAGGCAAGAAGGCTATTCTGTCAAATGGTGGAGCTGGGATTTGAGATCTCAATTAGAGATTACAGTGCTGTGATTAATAGATTGTGCAAAAGATGTTTCATAAATGAAGCAAAAATTTTCCTTCATATGATGTTATCCCAGGGTGTCTCTCTTGATCAGCAAATTTGTTCAGTTATGCTCGATGCTTTCCATCTGGTTGGCGACCTCAATTCCATGCTTGAATTACTTGCTGAGATGATCAAATGTGGCCTAGATCCTGGTTGAATCATGAGAAACAGATGATTCTTATGCTCCTCAATTGGGAAAGTCAGCTCATTTGTTGATACTGGAAAATTGCATACAAGGTATCACTCTACATCAAAGCTTCTTATCTTTCAAGATAATCTTCTCTTAGAAAAATTTGTGCTTAGAATATATCTTATACAATAGCCAGTGGAAAATAAATGTATTGCAATTAGCATCCACCTCTTGCTTGGTTTTACAAATGTTATTTACATGTACCTATAGTTACACACAATCACTCCTATGTGCACACTCGCGTTTTATTTTGCTGGATTACGGTACCACAGTTATCATTTATTATTATTTTTAACTTCAGTGAAGTGANTATTGCAATTAGCATCCACCTCTTGCTTGGTTTTACAAATGTTATTTACATGTACCTATAGTTACACACAATCACTCCTATGTGCACACTCGCGTTTTATTTTGCTGGATTAAGGTACCACAGTTATCATTTATTATTATTTTTAACTTCAGTGAAGTTACTGAAAATTATCTTATTAGGTTTTTGTGGTGGTTTAATATAAACTTGGAATTCATCTTAATGTTAAAAAATGCAGGTAGGATTTGGCGCTTGTAAGCAAAATTGGATCTTTTTATATATTAATACTAATATAATGAAATTTATCAATACCAAAATTTATTTCTTTATTCACTCTAAATTTTCAACAGAAATCTTAATTTTTTTTTTTCTAAATTGTCCCAGGAAATTAATCTAAAAATCTTTGCAATTAATTTTCTTGAAAAATATGCCCAACAAATTTTACACAACAAAAGAATTAGAGGGATTTAATGTAAAACAAGGGGTCTGATGTAATTATTATAAACAAGGTGTGTTATTATAAATTATCGAAAAAATTAGAGGGGAAAAATGTAACTTTACATCATCGNATTAATTTTCTTGAAAAATATGCCCAACAAATTTTACACAACAAAAGAATTAGAGGTATTTAATGTAAAACAAGGGGTCTGATGTAATTATTAGAAACAAGGTGTGTTATTATAAATTATCGAAAAAATTAGAGGGGAAAAATGTAACTTTACATCATCGACGTGTGTATATCACATTGAGGAGCGATGGCAGTCTATTTTCATGAACAATATGGGTGCAGTGGAAATTTTAGAAACAACTGGGGGTGTCATTGTAATTTACCCTTATGTTTAATATTGGGTTCCCATCCACTATAATGGACTAGTATTATAATTGATCAGTTGCCTAGTGATTATTTAGTTTGGCGCATCCTCATTTATTTTGGTTTTTTCATTGCTTATATGGTCTATTGGCAGTTCATTTATAGCTTTATCTCTCTTAAAATTTCTAAACACTCCATAAATGTTAATGGACTGTTCATGATGGTTGTTACTGTCAAGGAGAATTAATTAACTTTCGAACATATACCTAAATAACCAGCAAACAATGTGTCAGACAGAGTTGGGTGGAGATTTGGAGGCAAGATCTTCAGAAACTATCCTTCAGGTACATTTCTAAGGTCCTCCACTTTGTCAAAGATATCAGATCAAAAAAGGATGGCTTACACATAAATATATATGTGTAGACATGATTTAGATGACATTTTTTAATATTCAACAATGTAAAATGATTAACTCATTCCTTTTACTAATTATTCCTTGTCATCTTTTTCTATTCATTTAGGTTTTGAAGGAAACAAGCAGAAATGGAAAGGAGCCCCATGCAGCCTTTGGCCTTTCTATTTATGCTCCAATGTCTCTTATTGTCCACAATGGCACACCAGTCGACTTGCACCAGCTCTATACATATTTGTAGACTTGGTTNATTATTCCTTGTCATCTTTTTCTATTCATTTAGGTTTTGAAGGAAACAAGCAGAAATGGAAAGGAGCCCCATGCAGCCTTTGGCCTTTCTATTTATGCTCCAATGTCTCTTATTGTCCACAATGGCACACCAGTCGACTTGCACCAGCTATCGACAGCAGTAACAACAACCATCTGAAGGAGGGAGCCATTGCAAATTTTCCACCATATGGTGTCGACTTCCCGAACAGGTCTTCCACTGGCAGGTTCACAAATGGTTACACAATTGCAGATGTCCTTGGTGAGTTGCAACAAAAATAAATGAACAAATTCATGCAAAATGGAACAAAGAATTACTTACAACTGATTAGAGAATGTAGTGCAGATACAGTAGTAGCAGGTTTTACAATCATGAACAATTTGGTGAATTCCTTGCAAAAGAACTAGGACAGAGTTTGAAGGTAAGTCAAGACCTCTCCACCTTTTAAAAGGGTTTCCTTTCTTTTTCTAGATTGTGTGCTGTCAATTCCTTTGATTATGTGAAAAATGTNGCAGGTTTTACAATCATGAACAATTTGGTGAATTCCTTGCAAAAGAACTAGGACAGAGTTTGAAGGTAAGTCAAGACCTCTCCACCTTTTAAGAGGGTTTCCTCTCTTTTTCTAGATTGTGTGCTGTCAATTCCTTTGATTATGTGAAAAATGTTTGCCTATGACCACAACTGGTTGGTTATTTCAATTAGTATGCGGATTTGCTTTTCTTTGGGACACGGGAATTAAATAAAATCTAGCCGGATGGTGTTTCAAATGCCACAATCCCTAGACAGCAAACTAATAATGATAATAGTTATGGGGTGCACATAGATAAACACATGAACATAAATGCAATATATACAGGGGGGGTGTTTTAAAGAGAGAGGGAAAGAAAACCCACACAACCAATTTCTTCTCTCTCTAGAATCTATATATGTGAAATATGTATTTATAGAGATCCACACACATACAAATGTATAGATAGACACCATATATGTGTGAATTATGAATTAGGTGAATTTTTGAGGGGTTTTTTAATAAAGAAAAAATACGGAGAAACTGCCAGGTTTGTCTTTACATGTTGAATGAGGTTATTGAGTTTTTTTACCAAATTATTCAGCATAATCCAATTTTGACACGCCCAAACCAAATGCAAAATTTTTTTTTGGGGTTCTGTTCATGGAACTGTGAAAGAAGAATGACCTTTGTGCTGAAATATACTTGCAGGACCTGTACAATCTTGGTGCCAGAAAATTCGTTGTTTCTGACATTGGGCCCCTTGGTTGTTTGGCAGTTGTGATGGAGAATATTAGACCGAAAACAAGATGTGCAGAGGATGTGAATAGTATGGTATCCCTTTAATAAAATGCTTGCAGTTCAGCTTCAAAATTTAAGCTCCACCCTGAGAGGTTCAACCTTCGTCATGGCAAAAATATACAAGGTTTTCAAAAACATTTTCATGCATCCTGTAATTTATGGTGTGTCATCTCTCTCTCTTTCTGTGTCTCTACTCTCTAGTATAAATTTATTTTACTTCTCCCTATAGTTTGAACTACTGACATTGTATCTCCCTTTACTTTAGAGTGGCTTTGGACTGAAGTGTACAGCTAATTGAGTTTTTTTTTTTTAACTGAGTTAAGACCTTAGTATAGAAGAATAATGTCCTTCACCTTTGTTTTCTGATTTTTGTGTTTTCTTCTAAAAATTATAAATTGAAAAATCTACTTAATGCATGGAAAGGAGTATAAAAATATGTTGTATGGAAAGCTATAAAAATTGTTTTGATATGTTATTTTATTGTGAATAGAGACTTTTGACCGTTAATTGTCGCAAAATTTCTGACGGTCTCAACTTAGTCTGAAACCCCATGGGTTATATGTAGGTTTCTAAATAATAGGAAAGTAATATGTTATTGGATCAAATTTTCTTTTTTGTTTTTCATATAATTGGTTGATTTAATTTTTTTTAACTCCAAGCTGATTGCTTAAAGGGATAATTCTTGCTTTCATCTCTGTAGGAATCAAGGAAACCAGAAAAGCATGCTGTGCTCTTGGGAGGAATGGCAGTGGACAATGTAAAAAAAATACAATTCCTTGCAAGGATAGGAACTCTTAATGGTACAGGTATGTGCACTCCAATGAATGTGGTTCAACTTGCCAGAAGCCATAGCAGAAGCTTGCATTTTGGTTGTGTCACAGCAAGAAACAATCCAGCTCACTTATTTTAAGATTCTTTTTGTTTTCTTGGCCTTGTCTTTGTGTGTCAATTTTCGACACAAGACTTCCCATGATAAAATCCGAAAATGATTGGATCAATGAACACAATTACAAACTGGTGGTTTAGTGAGAAACATGAATAGAAGATCCTTAACTGGTATTTAGGAAAAAAATGTTCATTTTTTAGTTTTTATGTTTTATTTTCAACCTAGTGCTATATGGAGTGCTGTTGAAGTAAATGGTTTTTATTTGGTTTTCATAGGATGTGAATCAATTATATTTTTAATTTAGTTGATCTATATGTGGTGGACTTGATTGAAAAAAAAAGAAAAGATAAGAGGATCCTAATTCTGCAATTTCAGATTCTAAGTTCAGAGATTACATGAAATGACTCAAATCGACATAAACCCAAAATGTTACGTCTCAAATATACACAAAAAGGAACTACACCACCAAAGTATCTATATAATAAAGTACAAAGATTGAATGTACAAAAAAATTATTTTTGTTTTTCACNTGTAATTATTATAAACAAGGTGTGTTATTATAAATTATCGAAAAAATTAGAGGGGAAAAATGTAACTTTACATCATCGACGTGTGTATATCACATTGAGGAGCGATGGCAGTCTATTTTCATGAACAATATGGGTGCAGTGGAAATTTTAGAAACAACTGGGGGTGTCATTGTAATTTACCCTTATGTTTAATATTGGGTTCCCATCCACTATAATGGACTAGTATTATAATTGATCAGTTGCCTAGTGATTATTTAGTTTGGCGCATCCTCATTTATTTTGGTTTTTTCATTGCTTATATGGTCTATTGGCAGTTCATTTATAGCTTTATCTCTCTTAAAATTTCTAAACACTCCATAAATGTTAATGGACTGTTCACGATGGTTGTTACTGTCAAGGAGAATTAATTAACTTTCGAACATATACCTAAATAACCAGCAAACAATGTGTCAGACAGAGTTGGGTGGAGATTTGGAGGCAAGATCTTCAGAAACTATCCTTCAGGTACATTTCTAAGGTCCTCCACTTTGTCAAAGATATCAGATCAAAAAAGGATGGCTTACACATAAATATATATGTGTAGACATGATTTAGATGACATTTTTTAATATTCAACAATGTAAAATGATTAACTCATTCCTTTTACTAATTATTCCTTGTCATCTTTTTCTATTCATTTAGGTTTTGAAGGAAACAAGCAGAAATGGAAAGGAGCCCCATGCAGCCTTTGGCCTTTCTATTTATGCTCCAATGTCTCTTATTGTCCACAATGGCACACCAGTCGACTTGCACCAGCTATCGACAGCAGTAACAACAACCATCTGAAGGAGGGAGCCATTGCAAATTTTCCACCATATGGTGTCGACTTCCCGAACAGGTCTTCCACTGGCAGGTTCACAAATGGTTACACAATTGCAGATGTCCTTGGTGAGTTGCAACAAAAATAAATGAACAAATTCATGCAAAATGGAACAAAGAATTACTTACAACTGATTAGAGAATGTAGTGCAGATACAGTAGTAGCAGGTTTTACAATCATGAACAATTTGGTGAATTCCTTGCAAAAGAACTAGGACAGAGTTTGAAGGTAAGTCAAGACCTCTCCACCTTTTAAAAGGGTTTCCTTTCTTTTTCTAGATTGTGTGCTGTCAATTCCTTTGATTATGTGAAAAATGTTTGCCTATGACCACAACTGGTTGGTTATTTCAATTAGTATGCGGATTTGCTTTTCTTTGGGACACGGGAATTAAATAAAATCTAGCCGGATGGTGTTTCAAATGCCACAATCCCTAGACAGCAAACTAATAATGATAATAGTTATGGGGTGCACATAGATAAACACATGAACATAAATGCAATATATACAGGGGGGGTGTTTTAAAGAGAGAGGGAAAGAAAACCCACACAACCAATTTCTTCTCTCTCTAGAATCTATATATGTGAAATATGTATTTATAGAGATCCACACACATACAAATGTATAGATAGACACCATATATGTGTGAATTATGAATTAGGTGAATTTTTGAGGGGTTTTTTAATAAAGAAAAAATACGGAGAAACTGCCAGGTTTGTCTTTACATGTTGAATGAGGTTATTGAGTTTTTTTACCAAATTATTCAGCATAATCCAATTTTGACACGCCCAAACCAAATGCAAAATTTTTTTTTGGGGTTCTGTTCATGGAACTGTGAAAGAAGAATGACCTTTGTGCTGAAATATACTTGCAGGACCTGTACAATCTTGGTGCCAGAAAATTCGTTGTTTCTGACATTGGGCCCCTTGGTTGTTTGGCAGTTGTGATGGAGAATATTAGACCGAAAACAAGATGTGCAGAGGATGTGAATAGTATGGTATCCCTTTAATAAAATGCTTGCAGTTCAGCTTCAAAATTTAAGCTCCACCCTGAGAGGTTCAACCTTCGTCATGGCAAAAATATACAAGGTTTTCAAAAACATTTTCATGCATCCTGTAATTTATGGTGTGTCATCTCTCTCTCTTTCTGTGTCTCTACTCTCTAGTATAAATTTATTTTACTTCTCCCTATAGTTTGAACTACTGACATTGTATCTCCCTTTACTTTAGAGTGGCTTTGGACTGAAGTGTACAGCTAATTGAGTTTTTTTTTTTTAACTGAGTTAAGACCTTAGTATAGAAGAATAATGTCCTTCACCTTTGTTTTCTGATTTTTGTGTTTTCTTCTAAAAATTATAAATTGAAAAATCTACTTAATGCATGGAAAGGAGTATAAAAATATGTTGTATGGAAAGCTATAAAAATTGTTTTGATATGTTATTTTATTGTGAATAGAGACTTTTGACCGTTAATTGTCGCAAAATTTCTGACGGTCTCAACTTAGTCTGAAACCCCATGGGTTATATGTAGGTTTCTAAATAATAGGAAAGTAATATGTTATTGGATCAAATTTTCTTTT